CCCCAAAACCCCAAAACCCCAAAACCCCAAAACCCCAAATTTAGAGAAAACTTTGTTGCTGGATTCTACTCTATTATTGCTAATCATTCTTGGGTTTAAGCAAATTCTTTTAGAACACCTTGGATGTAATCAAAGTCTGGTCTATCAGCTGGATCAAGAGCTCTTCAGTCCTTGATTAGGGTCGCTACGGTTTTGTTCACTCCAAATGGGACCTTGAGGAGTTCTTCACCTCATACTTTTTCTTTGATGTCAGTTGGATCAAGGCCATCATATGGAACTTCTCTGCACACGAGTTCCCAGAGGAGGGTTCCAAATGCAAATACATCTACTTTCTCATCATATGACTTTTTCTTGAATAGTTCAGGAGCCATGTAAGATGGAGTTCCAGAGAACTGCATTGTACCCCTGTTCAGGTCAGCCTTGAACTTACAAAGACCAAAATCTCACAATTTAATGTTCAAATCGTGATCTACTAGGATGTTGTAACTCTTTAGGTCTCTGTGTACAACTCCTGACTGGTGCAAGAAAGAGAAGATCTCTGAGATGTCATAGGCAATTTTGAGTCTCTGGTCTTGAGAGATTTCTGTAGCTGTGGTGTGAAGAACATCAAACAAACATCCCTTAGGCATATATTCAAAAACAATAGCCATATTACTGGTCTTTGAGCACATTCCCATGAGCATAACTATTTTAGGATGTCTGAGGATTGAAAGCATCTGGACTTCATTTCTAACCTCAGCAATAAGATCATCTGTAATAACTGGATCGACGATGATCTTAATAGCTACATCTGTGCTTCTCCATTTACCAACTTTGATGACACTGAAGCCACCTTGGCCAATTTGGTCATCCATCTCAAGCTCTTCATATGCTATTTCCATTACTCCGGGGATGACTCCTATTGTGCCTTCTTCTCCAGCAGCGCTTGTAAGAATTTTTGATTTAGACATTTCGTTCTTTAGAAGAGTGACTTCAGATCTTAACAATTTATTATCTTGTCTTTCACGCTTTAGGTCATCTTCAAGCTCTTTAACCTTTTTGAGTTGGGATGAGGCAGTCTGAGGTCTGGCTCCATAGGAAGAACTTTTACCACTGAGCCAGTTCTTTTGCTCTTCAAGGGACTTCTTACCAGCACCGGCACTACCTCCTTTCAATTCAGCAATCTCCATCTGAAGGTCAGCTATCTTTTTCCTGAGATAAGATGCATCATTCAGATTTGAAGAACCTAGGAAGCTGGGCTTGGAGGTATCTGAGAAGGAAGAATCTTTTGCTTTATCGAAATAATCCCTGAGAGCTGCCCGAACGCTTGTTATTCCAAAAACTACTGACAAATCCGAGTTCGTTACTGCTACGGAGTTCCCTTCGAGCTTCAAGTTCTCAAGACATGTAAGAGCGACCATGTCTTCTGGCAATGAACTAATCTTGTTTTTCTGAGCATATAGATTTTTCAAATTTGTCAATGAAGAAATTTTGTCCAAAGATCTTATAGAATTTCCGGAAATATCTAGAGTCTCTAGTGTGGAGAGACTGAAGACATCATTTGGGATCTCGCTGAGTCCCATGTTAGATAGGTCTAACTTTGTATCTCCTCCTCTCTTAACGTGGCGGATCTTGAGTCTAACGTCGCTCATTTTTCAAAAATCTTATATAATATAAACAGGAAAATTTCGAACGGGGTTTTGGGGTTTTGGGGTTTTGGGGTTTTGGGGTTTTGGGG